TGGAAATCGGTTAAAAACTTTGAACAATATCTTGTCTTTATTCTCAATTTTGTATGATTTTAAAATTAGTCTGTTGGACAAGCGTTCGCGTACGCAAAAAGCTTTTAAAGTAGGGAAAATTGACAGTTGACTTGCAGAGGAAGTGGCTTATTCCTGCTGGAGAAATGTTTACCAGCATCAATTTGCCAGCAAGAAAACCAGCTACTCAAGGTCATTTGTTTGCAATTTATGAAAATTACGAAATTTGTTTCTATGATATTTAAGCTAAAAATAACTTGAAGTTCTAGCAAATGTTTTGGAATAAAGCAACAAACACTCATTATCTTACGTTTGTTTGCGTTTCCAGTTTCATGCTTTTGTATGTAAACAAATTTTCGATCAGCTGTATTAGAAACTTGCATATTTTTTTGCTAATTTTGCGTTCGCGTATTTTTATGGATATTTTCCAACTTGAGAGATATCGTTCGTTACTCTCCTGCAAGTTGCTGCTGGATATTTTTCACTTGAAATCTATTCGAATAGGCTAAATGCTGGCAAACTTAAAAAAAAAAAAAATCAATGCCGCCGAATTGAGAAAACGGTTTTACCTCAACCACGTTTTTACCATTGTAAAGAATTTACAATTTTCATTGTAAAGTTAAATTTTCAATTCTCTAAGTCAAAAGTAAGATTAAATAAATGAAAACAAATTTAGAACTTTCTATTAAGTGTTGCTATTGCCTAGTTTTTATAAAAAAACAAAATAATCAGTTTATAACGAAATTATTTCAATACATATATAAAAGAAAACCAAACGAAATTATTCAAATTTTTTCTTCCTTTTTATTATACACAAAATTTTCATGTATGTACGTATGAATGTATGTATGTAATAGTAAAAACAATAAGGGTAAAAAAACTCACTAACACTAACGAACAAACAAATATCAGAGCAGCGTTGTAAATTTAAATTAATCATAATTATTTTTGTTTTTATATATACATACATATATGAACATACATACATATGTATGCTATGTAAGTTCGTGTTTTTTCTAAGTATGTATGTATTATGTATGCATCCATGTTGTTTTCACTTATATGGGTGTGTGTGTGTGTGTGTGTGTGTACGCGCATATTGTATAAATGTTTTTTTGATTTGTATTTCTATTTAAACATTTACATAAACATAATTGTACTTACAAATAAAAGTGACAAAAACATTAAAATTATGACTTCAAAACTTAAAATAGTTTATTATTAAAATTAAACTTATTTTTTTTTTTAAATATTAATTTTCGTTTAGGTGGAAAATTTTACAAATTATTGAATTTAAAAATGTACATGCATACATACGCAAATATTAAAACAACCGGTTGACGTACGAGGCTTAAAAAGAAAAAGTTGATTTTTATGTACATATTTATGTAGTTAAAAATTCGTATTTTAAGACAATGTTAGCATTTCTGATAAAATTTTTCTAAAAATTTTAGAACAGTTTTTTTCTTAATATTTTGTTTAGCATGAACGTTTTTAACAACTTTCTTTCACGCACAGTTTCTATAGAAATTGAAAAAACATTTTTTGGTTAGAAATTTAAAATTGATATTTTTTAAAACAATATTTTACACTGTTCAACAAATAGGCTTTTTTTGAAGAAACTTTCTCCTCTTGGCTGAATAACTGAAGTTGAACACATTTAAACAATTTTTTAGTTAATCTCGACCTAACCCGAAAAATGACTGGAGAGCCAAATAAAGAGAGGCATTAAATGAATTAAGTTAAGTCGCAATTTTAGTTTTCAAAATTTTATACACTCTTACTCTTTTTTCAGACTCCAAAAATATAAAACATGCAAAGCCAATAAGTTTTGCGATATTAAAACGTTTTCTTTTAGGTTGTTGTTGTTGTTATTTCCGACAGTGTGGGTGTATGGATTCATTTTCAATTTCCATTTTTATATTAAAAGCTCGTTGGCTGGAAAGGTATTACAGTTGAATCAATGAAGTGTCTGTGGAAAAAAATCTCTGACACATAAGCGACGCTGGCGGTTAAAGGGTTAAACTACGAATATTCATTATGCCCTATTCATTATATTCATTCACCCTATGTTTTCTTTTTGCCGTTTTCGCCGATCAAAAACCGAAAAACTTTAATAGAAAAAAATTTAATTGAAATTACATATTGTTTAAAATAGACTATAATTCGATTACAATTTAAAATCATTAAATGTTTAACAAAAATGTGTTTATAAGTATGTGTATGCGGGTATTTATTGTGTTTGACTTGCATGCAATTACGTATTTGGATTTGTATAATTCTTAGTTTTATACACATTGCACATATTCTTCTTTGTTTTTTTTTTGCTTTTATTTTTTTGTGGCTTTTTTTTTGTTTTAACTTAAATGAATGTTCAACACTTAACATTCGCATTATAACGTTTAAATTTCCAGATTTTTATTTTTTTTTTTGAGAATTGCTAAGCTTGCTTAAAAGCAGGCACCACTTCATCAGGGTGACTATTCTATAAGGAGTTAGTGACAAGTATCGCCTCGCTGTCGTACCACCGCAGTGAAAAGCCAACCCATTCAGTTAACAAACTGGTAGGTGCTGATGTGGCGGCATACCAGCTGTGTTTAAAGGACAAATGAAAAATCCAATACGCAAGAATATTATTACGGTTTCTGGTTTTGGGATAGTAGGTTTGAGTTTGTTTTTTCAAAATAAATGAGTTGAGATATTTCCGATTTTTCAATTGAAATAAATTATTTGAATTGAACATTTCTCTGCCAAGCCGCTGAATGTATTGTGGCGGGCCAGATAATTTCTCGAATTCAATTCTTTAAATGGTTAGGCTATCACAATGTTAAAAATATCAAATCTGAAACTCAAGATGAACGAGCTGAACTGCAAAGCATATTTGGTAGCAGTCCAGCTGACAATTAGTTGACTTTCCTGCAGGGACTGTTTTGTTCTGTTCTGTTCTGGTTGAACAAATATAGCCGCTTGACCGCTCATGAATTCTCGCTTCATTGCTGAACAAGCTTAAGTTGCGTATACCTCTAGGCTTTCACTTAAGATTAACGGACTTTTACAACACTCTATGTACTTGAAATTTGAATTGTGTATTTATTTACGTTAATGCAAATTTAAAAATAAAAAGTAACTCGTTTGCTAATGAGTTTGCATCTGACTATGTCCTGTACTATTCATGTATATATATATATATATATATATCGTCGTTTAAAGTACAACATCGTTCTGCAAAACCGTGTAACTCACATTTTTTGCCAAAAATTGGATTTGCTCACACAAGCTCTTGGCTCAATCCTTATCCATTCGTCCGGCAATATACTAGCCAGCAATGCAATTGCTTTATAAAATAAAGAGTACCCTTTTGAAATATGAAAATAATTTATGCACCCTCACATACGCGGTTGTTTGCATTTGGTTGATACGCGGTTTTGTACTTTAAACGACGATATGTACATATGTATGTGTGTATGTATGTATGTGGATGAGTATGCTGATCATTTTCTATGCCATGCCAGCCTTAAGTGAATGTCTCATTTCAAACGTTCGACTAAATTAACTTAACTAACTCTCTCTCTCTCTCTCTCTCTTAACATTCATATAAGTGTAATTTATGCTAAACTAAATTAGATAACTTTTTATTAAAATTAAGTTTATTCCACTGCACCCTTTATCGCTTATAGGCTGCTCTGATTTATATTAAAAAGTATTTCCTTTGTTTCTTTTTTCTGGTTTTTTTTTTTGTTTGCCTTTTGCACTTATTTTAGGAGCAACGTTTTTACTTACATTTACGATATGACACTTTAATGAATATCTAATCCACAAGATTCCCGGCCTGCGGCGCGCTTGAAGGTCGCACGAGAGCTGCTGGCAAAGCTTGTCTTGTCTGCGCGATGGCTCGAACATTCGAACATTCACCTTCGAAAAATGCCGCACTCGAATGCACAACTTCTCTAACTTCTAACTAATCAGCCTGGATTCATATCTTAAACTTAAACTGGGACTGTGATGCTTTTTGTTTTTGTTTTTGTTTGCAAGTTACTAAATTTTAGTAATTTCTTCATTTTGTTTCTGTTGGTAGGTGATGTTTCTGTTAGTTTCAGTTATTGTGGTTGTAAACTGGACTCAAAAGTGTGACTTTCCACTATCTATAGATCTCTTCTCTTTCGCTACATTTCATTTGGATATGATTGCATTGACCGCATTGTGGGCGTGGTGGCTCATAGCATTCATACCACCTAAGCTATGGTGGTGCGCAAGCGTGTTGTGATGCTGATGCTGATGATGTTGATTGGAACTACTGCTGGGGTAAGGAAGGGCCGTATGGCCGCCAGTAACACCTGTGCCGCCAGCAGCGGCGCCTGCGCTGCCGCCATATACGCTCGTCTGCGCCAGGAAGCTGCAGTCAACGGCATTCAAGTAGTTGTTGTCAAGCTCTTGTTGTTGTTGTTGCAATAGCAATCGTTGTTGCTGCTGTTGTTGTTGTTGTTGTAGCAGGTAGCTGCCATATTTCCCATGGCGCCCTGCATGTTGGCTGCCACTCAAGCAGCTATTATTGTTGTTGTAAGAGGAGCGCATTTCGTTGCAGCTGGACTTTAGAAGTAATGGACTGCTGCTGCTGCTGCTGCTGCCGATACCTACGCCGACGCCGACGCCGACGCCGTTATTGTTATTATTATTGCTGTCACTGTTGCTGTTGCTGTTGCTGTTGGCGCTGCTGTTGCTTGCGTTGCGTAAGTAAGGTGAATTGGCGGCGGGCGGGGGCATTTGCTGACCAACACCAACACCAACACCACCGCCACCTACCCCGCCAGCGCCATGGTTGTTTGTGTTGTTGTTGCTGCCAAGTTGTTGTTTGTGTTGTTGCTGATAGTTCTTCAATGTTGTTGCTGCTGTTGCGCTGCTGTTACTGCCATTGCTGTTGCTGTTGCTGTTGCTATGCATGTGGTTGTTGTTGCTGTTGCTGTTACTGTTACTGTTGCAGTTTGTTTTGCTACTATGGCATCCAATCTCTCGCGCCGGCTATGTTGGCCAGCCGCCAGAGATGCGTGGTCGCTTGTGCGCCTGATTCGGTCCGTCATAGTCGTTTAGTTGCTGTTGTTGCGCTTGTTGTTGTTGTTGTTGTTGATGCTGTTGTTGCACCTGCTGATTGGGCGTTAAGCGGAGATCGGGCGATGGCACATTGGTGGGTGTAACCGAACCTGTATTGAAAATTATAAAGTCTGTTATTTCATTAGTTTGGGCTGTACAGTGAGGTGAAAAGTGTGGCGCGGAAGGGCAAAGCCAAAAGCCAAGTCAAGGCAAGGCAAGGCAAGGTGAGGCGAGGCGAGGCGAGTAGGGCGAGTGTGATTGTTTGCTGTTAATACAGTATTAGCTTATTCAGCGGGAAAAACAGATCATGCACTGCTGACCACTGCATTGGATTAAACGTCGCACATCTGGCTCTCAGGCTAGCCACGCGGCTGGAATGACAGTTGGCGCTAGGCAAAAAGCTGGTTAATCGGTTGCTGGCTTCTGTTGGGCGCCTGGCTGTTAGTGGCTCATGCTGGGCGTATCGGGCTCCCGAAAATAAAACGGCTAAGCAATGCGCATGCGCAACTCACAGTTAAGGCCGGCGCCTCACTTCCTTGCGTATGCTTGTTGTTGGCAGCCTTTAGCAATTTCTATTTTACAAATGCACTTTGATGGTTTGCTTTGGTAATATGTACTATGTAGTATGTAAGTATGTATGCTTAAGTGTAAGTATGTACAGGCATATGTATTAGTGACAGTTCAATTAGCATGCGCACTTCGCAATTACAATTACTACTACAACTAACAATGTAAAGGAATCGGATAAACTAATGTATAAATAAAAATCGCGCATTCGATGGCAGAGACGACTGTCATGCAAGAATGTATGTATGTATGTATGTATGTATGTATATATGTATCTATGTTAGCCATGTGGTGGGAATATTCGAATGGATGGGGAATAGTGAATTCAGTGGTAAAGGAGTGTTGTGATTGTAATTAAATAAATTAACAAAATTAGGGAAAATTTCAGGTTTAGAAAAGTTTTTCCATTAAGGTAACCCACAGATGAGATATATAAATAATAAAATGCTCAATGTCAACTCTAGTTTTTATATAAAATATACCAAATCAAGCTTTCATACTAGAGGCATTTGATCTACTCCATTTCTCAATTTAATTGAAAGATTCTGTTTTTATTTGAAATATTTATGTATGTATGAAAACCAAAAATACTGTACCGATACAAATAAAATTTTCCTCTATAATTTCCAATTCCTCCAGTTCCTCTTGTAATTTCCAATTCTATTTATTTAGAATAAAATGTTATTTTACATTTTGTTGAAGCAAAAAATGCCAAAACAAAAGTTTGAAAGTTTGTAATTATCTTTAAAAATTGCTTATACATATTTTCTATGTTCTAAATAAAAATAAATTGAGAATTCAAAGTATTATCAATACAAAAAATTAAACAAAGAAATAATTTTTTTCTAAAAACTGAAAATCGTGATAAAAATATAACATTTATAAAAAGGCTTTCTGTAGTTCTACATAGTCTTGTGTAGCCTACAATTTTAGTAATAGATTTTTATTATTTGGTAGATTTCAAATAAAATAGTAAGCCACTTTATACTATATACAAATATGTGTTAAATGTATTATTTCCGCATTGTTGTTTGTGAGTAGAAGCGTTAATAAAATAAAAATATGTATGTATGTAACTGTGCGTACATTCATAGGCAAATGCAATGAAGCAAAGCTTTAAATCTGGGACTGAGGAGAATTATGTGTGTATGTAGGCAATATTAGTGAAAAAGCGACTTTCCTACAATATTTGTATGTATGTATGTATGTACACAAGAACTATAAGAGGCGGATCATAGAGTGAGAAAGAGTGTGGGATAATGGCCATAAACACCAGGAGAAAAAAAGTCATCGTTCCAAACGCATGAACCAAACACCTAACACAGTCGGTGGTCAAAAGACTAAAGCGAGAGAGAGAATTCGTGTGGTGTATTTGGGAGCAATATATGTATGTAGATATGTATGATGTGAATAGATCTCATATGTTTACATGAATTGGGAATGTTTTTATGCAGACATGTACTATATGTGTGTACTGGTGTACTGGTTTTTGTATGCTTAAATATTTTTGGTTGGCCAAATTACCGGCGAAATTCCATAGTCTAGAATTCGAACCCAGTTGCGAGCGGTACTGATATCCTTCATACTTATCTAGCACTGGAATAGTTTTGTTTTGTAATTTAATGTTTTTAATATATTTTTTTTTTTTTTTGTTTCGAATTTGCGCACCGCGTAATGTAAAGAGAAAAAGAGAAAAAATAACAAATAAAATAGTAACACAAAGAGTTTCATAAAATATTTCTTGTAGTTAAAAGTGGAAGTTATTAAGATATGTATGTATGTATGTATGTATTTATACTATATATGTATGTATGCTGACTAGGTAGCCATTTCGAAATTGGCTGGAAATTGCGCGGTGTTGCAGTGCGTATGAGTAACTTTCGTCCTGATGATGGATGATGAATTTGTTTTGAGCGCAGACCCCGACTAATACGCATTTAAAGACAGATTCAAAGTTTTACTTAGCTGAATGTGACCTCTGCTATTTTGACCAAGAAATTTCGATTAGGCAAAGTTTGGCTGATATTTTTTTGTCAAAAAATATCACGTAAATTTTACTTTTTAAGGTTAAAATGTACTTTCGCACCAGACAATTTCCGAAAAATCCGCACAAAAAAAAATCCCGAATATCCGAAACATCCCGTTTTTGATAATTCGAACTTCTAGAAAAATTTTTGTTTTTAAATAGCCTAACTCAAACGAAACGAAAATGAGGTTTTGGCCTATATCCGAGTTTGTGATTAGCAACTTTTTTGTTACTCGAAAAATATACATTTGTACATACACAGCATTTTGAAGTATATTACATGCCGTTCAGGTTGCTCGAAAACCTTTTCGAAAAAAAATTTATGAAAATTTTTCATTATACCCTTTAAGTCTCGAAATTTAAAAGAAAAAACCTTTCTTTCCGGTTTGTAGCTTCGGTTTAAATAGTAAGTAGGTCAAGCGTTTGTCGTACGCACCGCACCGCTGCACCAGGAAGGCTACAAAAATTTTGGGAATTTTTTTTCTTTTAATGGGATGATAAATCTCTCCAGACTGCACCCTACTAACCCTGTGTATATTTCCCCTAAATATTTTTAGGAGCGAATTATCATAAAAAATAACGGTTTTATTTGTTATTCGGTTGTTAATAAAGTTTGTTATTGTGTTTGCGTAGCTTTGTATTTTTATACATAATTAAAAACTGCCAAACAAGTTAATACAAATTTAAGAAAAAATCCTTTACATTAAAAATGAAAGTAAGTGTAGCTAAAAATTGACATGCTGCCGAGCAACTTATGCAAATTCACTATTTGTTACGGATTTTTAATTAACAAAATTTACTATAAAATAGTTCGCTTCAAATTGCTAACAAATGTATGCGCACAACAGCATTTGGAAAATTATGAAAGCAAATAACAAAAAAAAAAAAATCATTACAAATCGTAATTTTATCCATACAATTTGACCAAAAATTAAATTCTAGAAAATTACTTTTATTACATATTTCGAAAAAGGCGTTGCATTACGCTAACGAACAATAAAATAGAGAAAGAACGTAGCAACAATTCGCTAAATACTTATCGAGAGCAGAAGAAAAATCAAACAAAAGAATAAAATTGTTTTTTTTTTGCTCACCTCCTTGCGTCGGCGTTAGATGTCCTGTGGAGGAGGGTCTGGAGCCGGGCATCACCAGATGCTGTTGCGGATGACTTAGAACGCTCAAGTTGGCGGCCTGCTCAGACGCTGAGCTTCCGCCGCCACCGCCGCCAGCTATCACCGCCGTCGCATTCATATGGGCAAGAGAGAGCGTGTTGGAGGTGGAAACGCCGCCGCTTGAAGACGCCGCACCACCGCCACCGCCGCCACCGCCCCCACTGCCGCCGCTGCCCGCCGAGCCATTGCTATTCTGTTGGTGGTGATGGCAACCGGAGAGATCGCGTGGCGGTGATTGTGGCTCGGATTTGACTTTGATCGAGACTGGCGAGGTGGCAGGCGGTGGTGTGCTGTTCGGTATGGCCAAGTGTGGCAGACTGCATTCGAGGAGCAGCGGAGGAAGAAATGCGAAAAAGTTCATAAACTATTTTTAGCCTTCATTCGAAATTTACTCACCCGGAGTGCTGCACAAGTCCCTGATGAGTGGTCCACGGCTGTAAGCTCATGACATCCGAGGAGCTCATCGAGAAGTCTTGGGGTCCAAACGTATAGCCCGTCATGGTGGGTATGGGCGTTTGCAGCGTCACCACGGGCGTGTTGAGTGATGCCTGATTGTGTCGCTGCTGCACAGAGAGAAGAATAACATTTTATATATTTCGATACATACGGATGAATTTAAATTTGTTCAATTAACCCTCTAATGTCTGCAAAATTATGCGTAAAAAAGTACGCATAGAGTCGCAAATGTTTTTGCTTTGATAGCAAAATAAAGTTTTCTTGCACACTTTTTTTTTTTTTTTAATTAAACCAGTGAAAAAAAAAAATAGTAATGTTGCGCTCTACTCACATCTCCATAGGTAATCTCATCTGTAGCTGACATATTTTGAGCAAGTGGCGTTGGTAAGACGAGGCGTAAATTGGAAGCGCGTCCATTTTGGCCGCCCGGTGAGTGTTGTTTGTGGGACAAGTGATGTGCTGCAAATTCGAAAAAAAAAAACAAAACAAAAAAAAGATTATGAAATGCCGTATGAAATAATATAAAAAATTGGGCAGGAATTTTAGCGGAATTTTGGAGGCTTTTAGTAAATTTGTGAACCACTCAAATATTGGATACGAACGTTTGTAAGGAAAAACTGAACATAATTTAACTTTTTAAGTTGACTTTTACTGGCGTCGCTACATTGAAGCGCTAAGCGTTGCGTTTTCCATTGTCAACGAGTGTCTACAATTGATGTTGAATGGTCATATATGTTAAAAAGTAAAGTAATTTTTTTAAACACGAAACAAAAATTTTTTTTCGGTTTGTAAATGGCTGAAAGCTCATGTCCCAAATGTCAGCCAAATGGCTAAAAAGTTTTTAAATGTCCAAAAATGTATGTCCTTAAGTTAAGCGATCATATCCAGTATATTCCGTTTTTAAATTAACAACAAAAAATTATATCCAGTTTTTCTTTTTGCCAAAAATTAAAATATTTACCTATGCCCAGTTTTTAAATAACCAAATGTATGTTAGAGTGGTCCAAAAACAGTAAGTCAGAATTTTAATGCCGCCACCACTAGGCTTGTTCTGTACCGAAAAAAGTACACCCATATTTTTTTTTTTTTTTTTGAAATCAAAAAATATTTAGAGGTCGCTCAAAGTGCTCAAAATTTTCCATGTAATGTGGTGTAGAATTCTCAAAAATCATTTTTCGATCGGAAAACTTTTATTTATTTTTTTTATACATGGAAATTTTTTTGGATTTCAAAATAAAAAATAGGGTGGCGGCATTAAAATTTCGACATACATATGTATGTATGTATGTTTACATTTCATGAACCTTAAGCTTTCGCTGTAAGTACACACTTAGCTAACGGTTTAAACAGTTCATTGGTGATCTTTCCTACTGGGTAAAGGTGTGTTAAGTACAGTTACATTTGTTACATTAAAATTAGTACAAAGAAATTCTTTTCGAAAAGAAAATCGGGGAAATGAGAAATATAAATTAATCAAGCCAATCAAAGCCTTTGATGGTTCGAAAGCATATCTCTCACAAAGCGTATAAATTAGATAAGAGCGTGGGTAACTGGCAGCATGCAACGGTTATTTGGTATTACATACATATGTATATGAGTTCAAAAATTAATTTATCGTTGACAAAAATGGTTCTTAGTGGAGTGGACTTTTAGCAAAATATTATTATATACATAAGTATATAAAATACATAAATATCAAACAAAAAAGTTTAAAAGTGCATCAAATGCTTGTTTAGTAAAATGTTAATGCATATTTGGGTGACTGGTTATTGTTGTTATTGCAATTGGTTTTTTTGCTTTTTGATTTTTAATTTTTTAATTTTTTAATATTTTGGTGCCCACCTAAACCTGGACTCGGCCCTGGACTGGGCGATCCACCAAGCGGCGAATGTGAATGTGGATAACCGTTTGACATCTCCAACATGGAACCCGATGGATAAACTGTGTTGTTGTTGTCGTAGAATTCGATTGACATCATAAAAAAAACACACACACACAGACACATTTTTTTGGTGAGTTGTTGGTGAGTCGATTTGTTTTTGATGATTTGTGGTTGTGGTGGTAAATGAAAAGATAAGAGAAAGAGAAAAATTTTGTTTTGCATTGCCTTTGCGTAAAACATACAAAAATATACATTTTTATGATTTCCTTCCACTTTTCGATTAGGAGGAAATTCAAATTCGAACGGTGCGTGCAATAAAATGAACGAAATGAAATCAAGGAAATTCAAACAAGGAAAAAATACCATACGAACGCAAGATAAAATAAATTAAATATAAAATAATAACATATAAAAAATATATATAAATAAAATAAACGATGCAAGTACAATAAAGTAAAGTAAAAAAATAAAAATAAAATAAAAATTAAAGGCGAACAACATGCAATGCGCTGAGTGCTGAGATGGTGGCATCGATGAGATGAGACTAATCCTATACAATACTTTCATATTTAAACGTGAAAATTAAGAAATTAAAGAAAAAAATATATAGATTCAGGGATACATAGTATACAAAGCTTCACCATTTGCTGGCGTGAAAAATTAACGTTTTCCTCAGCCCTAAATCGGAATTTTAATATTTGTGAGCATCTCGTTCAGTTAATATTCGAATAATTGTCATAAAATGCATTAAGTCACCAAACAATGGTCTCTCTCCGCTTTTCTAGATTCGTGCAGGAACCGAAAATAACAATTATTGATGAAAACTGTCTTTGAAAAGTTCACTATGAAATAAATGTTCAACAACTAAGTGATACATACTAATCGATTTAGTTTTTTGCCGAGAATCAATTTTGAAAATAATTTTTTTTTTTTTAATTTTTATGCAAAATTAAATAAATAACAATTATTTTTGATTTTTATCTAGATAGTCTGCAAATAACATAAATTTTTGATTTTTATGTTATATTTCTTAGATAACAGTTATTGAATACTTTATTTATAAAAGTCATCAATATAAATCAGTCACTGACTTTTATTTTTGAAGTCAGTTAAGAAGGTTTTTGAGAACAAAAGTTTAATAAGACTTATACAAACGAGTTTTATGAGTATGTCTTAAAAAATAAAAGTCAGTAACTGAATTATATAGATGACTTTTAAAAGTTAAATTCACACTCATGACTTTTATGAATAAAAGTCTTCAATATATATATAATATAAAAACCAAAATAACTGTTATTTGCAGATTATTTAGATAAAAATAAAGATAAAAATAATTGTTGTTTCAATTAAATAAAAATCAGAAATTATTTAAGGATTAATTAAATAAACGTGAAGGAGCGATTTTTATAATAAAAGTTGTAACGGTTATGGTCCCTCGAATTCGTGCATTAAAACTCCTAGCTCTTTTCATTAGGATCCCTAAAGGCTTCGACCCGTGGTTATAGTCAAAAAAGTCGATCCCAAAGTTAAAAGCAGGGTTTTGACATAACTCTCAATAGGATATCTTTAAAAAAAAAAAAAACTATTTTTGACTTTAGATCAACTTTACCCTCTCTGTTTTCTAACGCATTACCACTTTTGTTGTCGAAAAGAAAAAGCAAATTGCCAGGATATCAAGATAGTATATATTTGGAAGTGCGAAAAAATTTCGAAACTGCGTTGTTCTCAACTAGCATAGGTGCGCTAAAGAAGCCGTAGAACTACGAGGTGTTCTTAGTGGATCTCAATAAAAAAACAAAAAAAAAAACTTTATATAATTTATAAAATATATAATTTCAAATTAAGAAGTCAAATCAAAGCATCCGAGCTTGAACTAAAGAACAAAAACAAAATTTAAAATAAAATATGCATAAACATCGAATAAACACTCAAGCGAAATAAAAACAGAAAACTATTTAAAATACTTAGAATAGAATTCAACCAAAAAATACAACAAACAAACAACCAAACTCGCAACAACAAACAACTGAACGCAACGATAATTGAAAGTAAGAATGTGGTGTGTGCTCCGCGACACTACTCCGTACTAACTTATTAACGACATCCCACCTGAGTCGGTCTCTGAGCTGGATGGCCGTGGGCTGATATTTGTGTGGGACATTTGCGGACTCGCCTGCAGCATGGCATCACCGTAGGCGCCCGGCACCGGCACCGACACCGGCAGCGTGTAGTTCGTATTGCCGAGATTGCGCCCGGATGCGCTCGCGCCGGCCATTTGAGTGCGTTGAATCATTAGCTGAAAGTCCTCGTCGATTTTATTGTATTTGGCTTCGGTGCGGGGCGTGAGTGTAAAATCGGCTTCCTGTTCGGGTGAATCCGGTGACATGACGCCATTTTTATTCTCTTTCTGCAAAAAATACAATTAATTGCAAAGAGCAGACAAAAACAGAGAAGTTAATAAACAAAATAAACTTCAAAAACATTAAAAAATTGCTACATAACCGCCAAAATAACGTAAGCGACATTTTTTTCAAAATTTTCTTTTTGATGCAGAAATATTCCTAAAGCGTCTAGATGCATTTCTGCATCAAAAAGAAAAATTTGAAAAAAATTTCACTTACGTTATTTTGGCGGTTAGGGCTCGATATATTCTACGAAAACTTAATTAATTGGAAATACATATTTAAAGTAACACTAACGTCGTCTACATCATTCCCCATCAGCTGATCAATTTCAGTGAGTGCCTCAGCATTGTCTGTGCAAATTGTTTACCAATCTACTAATAAGGAATTCTAAGTACTTAAGTCACAGTTCCCCAAACGCCAGCGTCGAAGAGTGCAAGTGTCAGAACGCGTTAATTTAAGAGCGCTGAATGCTGAATTATGTAAATTTTCTGAGAATTACCATAAAAAAGAGGCGAGCAGCAACACTTTGAACGGGAATAACAAAGACTTCAACAACAAAAAACTGCTGATCACTGCAGAGTGTGGAGGAGAAGTAGAACAGGAAGGGGAAGTCGCTGTAGCACGATAGAGACGACGTTACCTGAAAGCTGATATGTGTTTTTATATCCGAAAGAAAAGCAGCAGAAAAACTCAGCGCTGTGTCTACAAGATGCCAAACCGCTGATAATGCAGAAGCCGGTAAAGTCAGGTGTCTGGCAGCGCAATGGGGGGAGAGAAAGCGGACAAGCAACAAAGCAAATTATGAATGGAATTGCTAAGCGGTGTTTTGGCGTTAAATAACACACAGAAAAAATCGAAAGGTTATGTCAACAAAAATGAAAACATGAATGCTGACATTGACTACACCCACTAAACTGACATCGCTTTGCGTATATGTACCGTAGTAAATCCACTACACGGCGACAACGACGCTATTCGCACTCAATTTGATTTGCATAATTTTAAGCGTGAGCACAGTGCTGCATAATAAGCAGCAGGCAGCCACTGAGCGGACTGACTTGGTTGGCTTTTTTCATTTAGGCTTTAAAACTTTTGTATGTAGTTATCTCGATGAAGCTACTCAGCTGATGAAGCAATGGGAGAGGAATGCTTTACGAATGCAAATATATACTTATGTATGTAAATATATTGAAAATCCCTTCGACGCGGTGCCAGCAACAAGGAGACGAGACGAGAAAGAAAAGGTCAACTGGTTGTCGCTGTTGCTTTATTCTCTAAGCTTTTCTATGCGGATGTGTTTACATAGGTACATACTGTGCAATTTTAGCAATAATAAGCAAGTTGTTATTTCCATTTTGTGATTTGATTATTTTCTGTTTGTTTGGGCTGGCGCTATTCAGAAAATATAAATATTTCACTTCGACAAAATGTGCAGCGTTCTCCAAGTCGCACGTTTTGCGCATGTGGGCGATTTTCCACACAAAACACTCCTCAGCAAGCTTTCTAGGTAGAATTTTGTTGGTTGAAGTACTACTTATAAGGATAGTATCCAATGTGAGATACATCCGATAAAAATTAAGAGCACTTCTAAATAAACGCTTTCTGGTGGCTTTTTTTTCAATAATACCTACATTTTTGAAGCTGTTTTTGAAAATCTTAGAATACTAACTCTGTCATTCGAAGGCAATGAAACTCAAATAAATGTTTGATGCATTCAATATTATTTCGTGTAAGTTTGCCTCATCAAACGATTTCACAAATAGCGGCACCCACATACAAGGTTATTTTCGGCAGCTAAATTTTTATATTTTTGTACTGAAAACCTATAGTTAATTGCCGAATGAGAGTTAACTCATCACTGTAAAAACGACCCTAAGCCTTTAAATTGCAAATAAAAATCATAATTGACAACCTTTGAGTTTACTTTTGTGGAATTATTTGGAAGGCAGCTGGTTAACGACATTAGCCTACATACATATAAACATGCAATTTTCGATACAATCTCCATTTATTTAATTATCTGCTATAGCTTACCTCAATTATATTCTTATTCGTAAGTGACTCGTGTGGCTCATTATATTCGGTGTATTTGAGCAGGACCTTGTCCATGTCGGTGCTGGCATATTGATATAATTTATTACTTGATGAGAAGATTATGAGCGCGATTTCACAATCACACAGAACCGACAGCTCGTAGGCTTTCTTCATGACACCAAATTTGCGTTTGTTGAAGGTAACCTGCAGATGAAATAGGCAAAAGGATTAGTCACATAAAAAGGGACTTAATTGTGTTAGTTATTTAAATGCTTGTCATATTTTCACTTTTTCCTCCCCCTTTCGTAGCTCAATGTGGATGTGTGAGTGTAAATGCTAGACGGAAATCCTTGAACTACGTCCATTATTGCTTTAACTACAACACCTTCGACAATATACGCCTTATCCACTTGTATAGTAACCACACACACACACACCTCATACATACATACATGCACGCGTGCGTTCACACATATGTACATATGTAGCTCGAGTACAAGGCAGTGTGCAGTGTGCGTAGTTAAGTAGCCCAGCCTTGATTTGCAATGAATCGATTTTTATGAAGCACACTCTAAGTGCTTTACGGGGAAAGAAGACATAGACGTAGAACACAAAGCGCAGACTGACAATGCATGCAAGCAATGCACAATTATAGGGACAAAAGGGTATACACACACACACACACACACACACACACACACACACTGACTGTGACCAACTACAGCGTTGCATCAGGGAAAACTGGTGAGCGCAAGCTGCTAAAAGCATACAGGGCGTATGAGTGATTTTGCCACTGTATAGCAAAGCCTCTATGTAGTAGTTATGAACAGCTTCTCCAGCCGAACTGCTATTCAGTATCAGCTGTAATACATACATATACAAATAGAGAGGATATTCAATTACAATGCGGACAAAAGGCAATGTATGTAGTACGGCTAGTGTGTGTGTGTGTGTGTTTGTATGGGTACGCAATGGGAGTGTGAGACTCGCCTTCCTAAGTTGGTTCTTGGCATTTATGGCATTTTATGTGTACAGAGGGGTACTCATTGCCAATACAGGCGAATGTAAAGTCAAAGATAGTCAACATTAGTTTAGGCTAAATAGTGGAGACCAACCTAATAAATAGTTATTAACACCAACACTTCAATAGCTGAGCACTCAAATTTCCCTTCCGACATCAAACCATATTTGTTGACCGCACACACACACACACACACACACAGCTCATTTGCGATTTAATTGGCATTTATTATTTTCTAATTAGACGGTGATTAAATTTGCAATAGCCTTATTAGTAGTTTTCGAGCAGTGTAGCTTGCGGGGACAAGCGCACTGTGATAAAGAAGGTCGCAATAAGTTATGAGCTGCTGAAGTTCAGAGCAATTATGCGAATGGCAGTTGTTTGGCAGATGAAGTTTTAGATCGCCGGTGCTGGCGAAGTGCAACTATTATCTAATTATGAGAAAATTGATATTAATTATTTCGATGTATATTTTACATTACATATCCATATTTTGGTTGATCGAGTGGTTAGAGGTGCGCACTATCGCACGATAGGTCCAGGGTTCGCAGTCGGCAAGCAAAGGCAAAGCTCTCGAGTGTATTTTTGCCATGGAAAAAAGCTTCTGGAAAAAATGAGTTGTGAAAGACTGTGAGTTGTGATTAACACTCTGAAATTGAATTGGCTGCCTTCATGCCACTCAGATGTCACAAAGATCGACTGATGTTGACACATCTTTTTAACTTTGTTTGGGTTGGTTTTATTTATTATAAAGATCTTGGTAACGTTATCGTTACAACAATTTCATTGTTATCGGTATCGATATCGTAATTGTTACCGTTTTCTTGCTATCGATATCGATATTCACCCCAATTGATTTCAACTAATGATAAGATGACATTGGGTGCATTTAATAATGGAGACCAGTGGCGTTATCGCTTCCTTTATCCTCATCATCATAAGACAAGTACTTTTCATATTACAAATATAAATTAAATTACCGATTTTCTATGCATTCGATTGCCCCACTTTTACTCACCTGTCGATTACGTTCATCTGTGATGCGTGATATCTGTATTTTCTTTCGACCCATTTTGTACCACCAGAGTCTCCTCTACGCCGTGTTAATTGATCTACTCAGCTCCGTCTAAAAAATATCCAATGCCCAAGTAAGCGGCAGTCCTTCAATGTTTTCTTATAAAAATATTTGCTACTTTTCTCCTTTGGTTTTTGTTTTTGTGGTTGTTGTTGTTTTTGGTCTTGCCTAGTCGCTCTTTAGCGTGCTGCTGTTTGAAGCGGGCGGGTGTTTATTTTTCTCGTACCTGGTTTTTTGCTATATTTGTTTTTTTGTTTGCTTTATAGTTGTTTATAAAAATTTATTAAAAGCTTGATGACTTCCAAGAGGAAAACTAAGCAGTGCCGCGCACAAAGGTAGATTCAGCCTTTAGCTGGATGGACGGTTATGCAATTTTTTGTTGCTGTATGTTTTATTGTTTATGTGATTGAGTGTATGGATTCAACAATTGTACGATTGATTTTCGAACAGGTAGCTCAGTTATGTAAAATGTCCTGCAATAAAAGTAGAAGAGTTTAAAAATAGGTAAGTTTCACTTTTGCGATTATATCTGAATATAGTATGTATAAAATCTTATTAAAATTACTTAAAATTTTTTGACAAAATGTTGCTAATAATGAATTTTATTTATCAAAAAATAACTCGATTTTTGAAGGTACATATTTTCAAATAGAACCAGCTCAGATAAATCTTAAAATTGGCAGGTGTCTTAGACTATAATAATTTTATAATTCCTGTGGAAAACCCGCACCTTTTTTTGGTGATACACCCTAAGGTACATACCATATATGGGCGAGTGAAAATTGGAGCAGTGAAAACTTAAAATGATTCAATTATTGTATACATGTTTTAAACAGATTTATCAGAAGATGCAATGTAAACTAAATTTGGTATAGACACAGAAGCGTTGAAAATGTTTTACGTTTTTCTTTATCATTTACATTTCCGAGTAAATTTTTGGATAAAAAAAGAGAGAAAAATGCCTAATCAATTAAAAATATCTTCACGTGAATGAGCCATGACACTTAACGACTTAATTGCAGTTGAAAAAGAAACACTCGCTTTTAACAATGGATTCAGCGCCAAACGCAACTGAACTGTCAGTCGATATCGCACCGACTTTCGTATTTTTTTTTTTTTTTTTTTTTGTGGAAATGCATCGTTCGTAGAAAGGAGCTGAGCTAATTATGTTGGGCGTTGTATTTATGACTTTCATTTTTCCCTCTCCAAGCAGGATGAACAACCACAATTCACATCATCTACACAGAGAAAAAACGACCTAACAAAACTAATCAGATATCTTCATGGTTTTTCTTCGAATAGATATTTTTCTTGCGCGGCATCTGTGGCTGAGAGGTTAGAGGTGCGCACTACTACTCCGTAGGACTTGGGTTCGATCCCTGGACCGTCTTCTGTGTATCAAGAAGAAGAAACGCCTTACAAATGAAATCAATAAACAATTCTTTCGATTCCCATTAGGTTGCCTAATTAAAGGCTAAAAGTAGTCACGTAAAATCAATAAGGAAAGTTCACCTTCGCCTAGAAACTTTTCATAGACACAATCTTTGAAAAAAACAACAAAAAAATTTAACTTTAAAAACCTTGCAAATATTTTACAAAAATCACCATGCACTCATTTCTGCTCCCCACTGTATGTATGCTCTCTTACATACTCATTTATATATTTATGTGGACACTAAACGTCCATCGTCTAGATCTAATTGGTGCGAACTATTTGGATTCTATAAGCCAGCAAAGGCAGATGATAATATTTAAATTATTAATTAGCATATTCTAATACAAATAGTCGCTGGCCGTTTATGTAAACAACAAAAACAACACGAAGTTTTGCGAAGTGGCCAACATAGGACGCGTAGCTCAGCTGTTATGCTGTACCATCGATAAAATAACAAACAAGTGAAAGCAAACAATAGTAAATATGTATGTATGTATGTATGCATGTTCTTTGTACATACATAATTACATACATAGAATGTAAGAGCATAGCGGCAGTCTGCGTGCTGCCACTCAGGTAGCAAAGTTTTGCCGTTAAACGATCAAGCAGCAACAGCCAGCACCTTCGTTTCCAATAACTACTGTTATAATCGCGTATTGTGCAAACATATCGCTATAATGGAACGCAGCCACCCGTCCATATAGTTGGCGTGAGCCAGCAAAACGAAACGGAGAAGCGACTGACTAGAGGATGGCGGCGGCGAATGGGTTAAAATGATAAGTGTAAGTGTGTCCGTGTCGGGGCAAAAGACGTCAGACGAATCAAATCTATGTGCTGTTGAATTGCTGTGAGTTAAAAAATTAAAAAAAGAGAACAGGGAAATCAGAAGAAAAACGAACAGCTTTTTGCGTAGGCTGATAGGTAGGTTCCTCCGCCACGACGGCCATTGTTTGTGGGTCTGGAGGGTAGAAAAGAACAAAGAACGAAAGTAAATGTGCGAAGAAACAAAAAAATAAATGAGACGCTCCCGTGCAGAATATGGAATAGATGGATGTAGCTGCGCTCTAAACAAGAGAAACAAATAAGTAATGCGCACACTGCCTTAGGCAGCACTCGGCTAAGCGTTGTTGCTACTGTCGCGCCAAAATGTTGCTCATACGCCACGTAAGCCCCGCGGGATATGGTTAAACGTGACGTCGACATAATGGCGTATACTTAAGTGCGAAATGCGCTCGCGAGGAAATCGCTGAGCTCTAACCGAAGGCGGATAGTAGGCGCTGAAGCAGGCAACGGGCGGAAGCAGAGACAGAGACAGAGAGAGAGGAAGAGATAAGTGAGCTGAATAGGTAGTTTAAGGGTATTTGTGCAAACCACGGTATCATTTCCGCACAACAAGCTGCTGGAAGTTGTGGAGAATAAACATTCTTATGTGCATACATATGTAAATACATATTGAAGCTCTTTTTACAGAGGAGTGCGTGTACAATTGTGTTTGCTTGCTTTCTGCCACCATTTGTAAAGGAAATTAAGTAAATATATGTATTTATACAGTGGCAGGCAAACAAAGGCGACACTTTAACAAGTTTTGGCAATTTTTCTTTGGCTCATTTAATACTTATTATTTTTAATGGAACTTTAGCTCACTATCTAACCAAACCTAGTTCAGACTTCAAACGTTGTACAACAATGAGGAAAATTCGAAAAAGTGCCATCAAAAATTCAACCTTTTCAATCAGAATCTATAGAAAAAACGACTTACTGCTGATTTTTGGCAATTCTTTGGCTGACGATGTCTCGCACTTTCTTCCATACAAAGTATTTTTGCAAATTTTCTATATAGAGGAAGATGCACAAAACCGTCAGCAAAAAAATCGCCAAAAATCAAACTTGCAAAATCGAATCATTGCACTCAAATTTAGTGTGCTTAAAGCTGCATATTTAAATTTTTTAATTCTGAATAACAAGTTTGAATTTTGATGAACATTTGTTGAAATTCAAAATCTTGTAGAAAGTTTGCAATTTTGTTTTATATATTTTATTGCTAGATGATATTAATCAGCAATTAGAACAAACAATTTAAGTGACACAATACGAACATTGAAAGGGAATCAAAACTCTCCAAAGTTTTTTTTTGTTGAATGTTTTTCGCTTCTACGGAACATTTTACCACAATTTCTCTGAAAAACCTATTAGTTTCACTCAATATTTCGTTAGTTTTGAACGGAACAAGGTATCACATCTTAAAATCAATAGAAAATTAGAGAAGAAGAAGTCGTTTTCTCCCACATTTCTTAATCGAATCATATTTCAAACAAAAAAGAATCAATACATTTTAGTTAGAATTTAAAGAGATCATCGCTCCTAACTAAGACAACTAAGAAAAAGTTGATTGATTCCTGTTTTAAGTGTTAAATATTACACCAGTTCTATGTTGATTCTAATGAGTAATGTCCAGTTTTCCTTGGAATAAACAAAATATTTGCAAAATATAACTAAAAAAGAAGAAATGGAAAATAATTATTATTTTATAAATTTTAACCAAAAAAATAAAAAAATAATTTGTAATCGACGTAAAACAACTTTAGCTATAGCCGCGTATTTGTGTCCGTACGTCCTAATGTAATTTTTAATTATATTAATTTTTCGAGTTTAATCAATAAAGATTAAAAATAATAACTAATATCTGAGTTTTATTTTTTTGCTTAAAGATAATGATCATTCAAAAAACTCAAAAGCTATACCAGCGTGATATTTTTCAGAGGCACATAGCTAATAAGTCCAAAAAATTTTCGGTTTATTGCGTCTGCATGGCCTTTTGAATTTCACAAATAATCATTATTTTAAGTACAAAAATAAAACTCAATAATATTTATTATCTCTGATCGAAAAAATAAAAATCAATTAATAATTAGTTCCTTTAAGCGTAAATATAAAACTCAGTAGTAATTATTATTTCTCAGCGAAAAAAATAAAAATCACAAAATAATTATTAAATTATTCATAATGACTACCGTTCCTGCAAAAAGGCATTGAGATGAGGAAAATACAAAAAGTTGAGATGTATCGGAGATTTCTTTAAAAAATTTCCCACTTTTTTAACTTTTGCTAAATTCATTGGATAAAATTAGTTGCAGCTTTTTAACATATCTAATTTGCAATGGAATATCAGTCAACCTTGTATCGATACTAGGGTATTGGAAAACTTTTAAACATAGTTTTATAAATTACACTATAGGGATGCTAACTTAATTTTGAGGCGTAGATTACGGATCTGTATACCGTTTTTCTAGATCAGGTCATTTTCCCCATCATATTTTCATTTCCAGTGTAACATTATTTACTGCTTCTATTTCATATAAAAACTATTGCACATTTTTATTTGACCATTCAAATGCTGTTTATTTATCCATAAAATTTCATAGTTAGTAGCTTTACAAATTGAATGTTATAGAAAGAAGCTCTTTTAATTTCTAAGAATTGTATTTTTCAGAAAAAAATATGGCTTCGCTTATAGGTAGAGCTGTTATTTACATTGAAAATCGGCGATCTCCGAATTTAATATCGCTAGCGATATTTTCGAATATTTTCTCTATGAATTGCTTACACAATTGTTAGCGATACCGATATTTTTATTGGCACGGATACTGATATTTTCATTGCTATTTTTTATCGTTTCGCTATCGACATCGTTTTCGGCCTGGGCCTTTAATCAAACATATTTCTACAAACACTAAAACAGGAATGGAAATGTGAATGACTTCGGAAAAGGATAACTTAAAAACAACAAAAAAAAAGCGACGAGTAATGAATGCCTTAGTGTACGTATACATACGTAAATATATATACAAAAATACCCATGTTTGTATATATCTGTATGTTAATGTCTTTAGCTTTCTGTTTGCTTAAGGTATACGTATATGCCCTCAGTGTCTTAAGCCACAAACAACAAGCGATTAATACTGTTTATTGTATCCGCCGGTGGCGACGACACTTTAGCATATAAACATTGACATTGGAACGACCACCGCCGCCACTGTC